ATGCTTTAGATCAATGCAATTTATCCACAAACTTCATGACCTTGTTCCCTGTGCTGCTCTTCTCAAAGCCCGACAGGTCATCCAGGAATGTAACCTGGAAAAGATGCTCGTTCTCCGGCAGAACAAAAAAGTACTTCTCTAGCTTATCCAAAAGCTCTTTCTTGGACATGATGTGTTCGTTATCCGCCTGGCGGAGCAGACGAAGTTCCAGCTTCGTCTGCGGAGATGATTCAAGGGAGGCTAGAATGACCTGCCATTGAAGTATTCCGGTTTTATCGCCTTGCAAAAGGCCGACAATGTTCTCAAACTCAAAATACATGCCGAACCACTTGAAACTGAACCGACGGTCGCGACCGCGAAGACGGAGGACCCGAAGATGCTGTAGCTCAGATTCAGGGATAATAGCGCGGGCTTTCTCTGGCAGCGGCTGCAATGACCCAATATCACCTGTGATATAGCGCACAAGGGGATTCCGACGACGTAGGAGAGAAGTTTGGACGATGACCCCCTCCTCGCCATCCGGCACGGATTTTACGCCGGCGGATGAATCACCCTCAGAGGCGGAAGGAGGGAGGATCTCAATGACAACTTGTCGGGTGTCGAAGATGAAGTCCATGGTGCCGGGCGGGCGTTCGGACGAGGTAAGATCGGGATCACTCAGAGCGCATGGACCTGCTTCTGCACTTCCCCAGATTGAGCATATCTTCACCGGACCTAGAGTCGCTGTGATGTGGCTTCGTTGAGACTCAGTGAGCGGCTCAGATGTATACAGAACCTTGGTCAACTTGATTTTCGCTCTCTCCTCCGCCGGGAGGGTAGAGATATGATGAACAACTTGGACGACCTGGCTGCCATCGCCGGTAATGACATTAACGTGGTAATGCGCCAAAGCATGGACAACCTCAGCAGGTGTCATATAATTTCCAGCGCTGAGAACAGTTGCTCCCGCATTTTCCAGAATCTCGCTTAGCAGATCGAGAGACCTGGCTATTGATTAGGGAGAATCCTTTACACATGCCATTTCAAGCTTTCCAGCGGGTGAGCAACATACCGGTAGAAGTATCCGGAGACGTGAGTTGTCAAGATCCAATCATGAGGCTCCACAACTCCACAGGTGCTCAGGAATTCACCAAAAACTGCGCGCTGGTTGCGGTTTTCTTTGGTGTCAGTTACGAACATCAGCGGCAGTCCGCCAGAGCCTCCGCCTGTGATGCTAACGTAAGAACTACGTCTGTATTCATTTTGAGGGCTTGTGTCGTCTGTAAGACGTGCAATGGCTTTGTAACTAGATGGCTACGTGTTAGATACAGGCGTGGATCATATGGTATTGAGGACTTACAGATCTTTCTTGCTAACCAAGGGCAGTGAGCTAAGGTCAATATCCGTCGACTTCTTGCCAGCCACTTCTATTGCTGACTTGATTGATTCTGGCGTGGGAGGGTATTCGACGGAAGAGTTGTAGAAGGGGTGGATTTCGGCGACGGCGAGAATCTCCCTGAGGGGGAATGTGGTAGGTGCCATCATTGTATGGGCTTAAAATAGGTAAATCAACACTCAACCTGAACGTAAATGCTGTTTCGAGAGTGGCAACTGGGAAGCATCTCACATTCTTATACACAAAGGGCTTTCACGGCCGTTTTTATTGTGGCGTACAATACGTAGGACATCCGCCAGTTTTCAATCAGCCCAAAGCTTCCAGGTGATGAGACCCATAAACTTGAAGACAAGGGGATAAATCAGCTGAACGTAAGCAGTCCCCAAGAAATTAGGAATTGCATATACGGTCCGGCCCGCTCGTATTGGAAAATGTTTTCGTTCACTTATGCGTGTCTCGAGCTAGCTCCGCATGCGCTAATTGGTTTTCAATTGTACTTGTATTGAAAGTGGATACTCTAGCGATCATAACTTGAGCAGCTGAAGTACTAGTTTGGTGCGTGTCGGGACTTGATGGGTTCCCTGTCCACGATTCGACATAGGGTTCCACTTAAACGATGGGCTCGCTGTCCATAAAACACCACGCTGCAGTCTCACTCCTCCCCAGCTGAATGATCTGTGGCCACGATGGCGATATTTGAGTCCATGCTGACCGCTAGCGCATGGCGCTAGTCCCGGCTGCATGATGCATCACGAAGGGAACGTAAGGGCCAAAATTACCTAATGGAAACCCATCATCGGCGCGATCAGTGCGTGCCGTCAACCCGGTGGAGGAAATCTCCTGCAGATCAAAAGTCAATCCAAATCGACCCAAAAAATTCCAGCCGCGGTATGCAGCTAGGCTGTTCTCCAATTGTAAAATACCCGCCAGCCATGGTCTTGTAGCTGTTTACGGGAATTTGCAAAAGCAACGAGGGATTTCAGCTAAAAGACACAATTCTGGAGTACTCCATACAGCAGCTGAAGAATATAGAGGCCAATCTCTAGAGTATATATATGTAATGGTCAGAGTCAAGACTTAGTGTGGTTTCATTAATTGCTTTCCATCCTTGCTTGTGTTCCGAATATGACGACGGTGAAGGACATGTCTTCCGATGCTTTGATAGATAGCATCATCAAAGAACGAATTCGAAAATTGAATCAAAACTCTATTGATATTGAGCATGACTTGCCTTTTTTGGTCGCAGACACAAGGAGAATATTCCGGCAGCATGAACGCTGGCTCCAATGTCTCCCTCACATTACACCCTTCTACGGTCTGTTGTGGGCACCATCTCGATTTTCACTGGGTCCAAACAACTAACAAACAATTTTCATAGCTGTAAAATGTAACTCCGACGTTCGGTTATTACGCTATCTCGCACGTCTAGGTGTTGGCTTCGATTGCGCATCATGGGGAGAGATGAAACTCGTACTGGACTTAGGTGTAGATCCAACCAGAATCATATTCGCTCATCCGTGCAAAGCGGTATCTGCCTTGCAGATGGCTACCAGGAGAGGAGTTCCACGCACCACGTTCGACAATGTCGACGAGCTCGAGAAAATCAAGAACTATGCTCCCAGTCTACGGTTACTTCTTCGTATCTACGCCGATGATGCTACCGCTCTTGTGAGTCTTGGGAATAAGTTCGGAGCTCCCTTGGATACCACCAAGGCATTGCTTCTGAAGGCAAAGGACCTTGGCTTAACTGTGGAAGGGGTCAGCTTTCATGTCGGTATGTACGACTTCTGTTCGGGATTTGCACTCCTTGCTCTGGCTGCACGCTCTATCCCATAGTAGCTAACGGATACAGGATCCGGAGCTTCGAGTGCCGATACATTTGTCACTGCAGTACAAAATGCACAACGGGTTTTCCAACAAGGGCAACAGCTCGGGTTCAATATGCATGTTTTAGATGTCGGAGGCGGATTTCAAGATTCCAACTTCGAACAAATGGCCCTCACTCTTCAACAGACCATCGAAAAAGAATTCCCCCCTTCCACACAGGTAATAGCAGAGCCTGGTCGATACTATGCCCGTAGTTTCTACACAGCAGCATGCAAGGTGATTGCGCGTCGCAAGCAAATCGGGCAGGATCGGCTAACACACACCGACATGCTGTACTTGAATGATGGGATATATGGGTGTTTCATGAACGCTGTGGCCGAGAACGAGATATACTGTCCTATACTGGTCCGACGGGGAACTGCGAGCGATCCCGAGAGAGAGACTGGGGAGCATCGGTATTCTGTGTGGGGCCCGACGTGTGATGGGTTGGACTGTATCGCCAAAGAAGCCACGATGGATTGTGAAATAAAGGTTGGCGATTGGGTCAAGTTTGAGAATATGGGATGTAAGTCTGCCATTAACTCAACCGTCCATGTCACTTGATAGCTAACACAATCATATCGCAGCCTATACGGTAGCGACTTCTACGCAATTCAATGGATTTCCAAATCGCTACGACATCATATATGTTGATGACCATCTCCCACTGAGATGGGATAGAGAAATTACAGCTAGTTCGAAACGTATCAGGTCCGAAGCTGTCCTATAGAGATTATAGATGTACCCATAGCAATAGAAGAATATGTGTCGTGCTTGTCGGAACTTCTATGTGATCAGTCATTCTGAATTGTCAGGGCAACATGGTATTTTCCTCTTCCCAGATCTTCCCTCGGCTTTCCGCTCGCCCTGTGGGTACCAGGGTTCGTAGCGTCTTGTCATTTCCATCGTTTGACACTGTCAATGGTAGGTAACGAATTTGGGGCAGGTTCGAGAATCGGGAGAACTTTCCATTCGCCTGATCGGTGGGGTACACTAAAAGACACCGGCTAAATTCAAAGGCCCACCAACATGGGTTAAGTATGTGACAGGTATTTTACAAGTTCATCAGACTGATCTCCTAGCAGCTGGATTCCGTAATGGCAAATTGAATGGTTTCATCAGTATTTGCTCCGCATCGTGCCTCGCTGCGAGGAGATTGGCCCTAGATGTTCGCCAAATGCGGTAGTATCTGAATCTCCACATCGGATACGAGCCAGGATTTCTAAGCCTCGCATTATACAGTGTGGGCCTTTCTGCGATCTGAGTATGCAAGTGTGTATTACTCTGAGACCTTGCGTAGTTTGGATCTGAATGATAGGACAGTCGATCATTTTTCACGGCTCAGCTGAGAGGCGCTAGTGATTTTATCCACATGTTCAGAACGATCTTCACGGTCTTGATTGCCTTTTTAAACATTTTGCTTTTGTTTTCTTCTTTTTCTTCTAAAAACGTTGTAAACGAGTCATCGGGATTTGATGTGACTCCACACCTTGAATTAGTCCTCGCGTCAATCCAATGCTCAGCTATGCAAGTGGCAATGGAGGTCGACACCCACCCTGGTCATAATACCATTGAATAATGCTGTCACAAAACGCAACGTACAGGAACGCACGGGCTGAACCTAGTGGCGATTGACACCATCCTGCACCGATCCTCTGTCTCTGAAATAAGATGGCCTTAGCATAATGACTTTGTCTGCCCCTTTAACCCCCCACATTTCTCCTCAAGTCACTACGTGATTATACCCCATTTCCACACCATGAAGATTCCAACTACCCAGCAGCTCCAACAGTTACATGTCTCTCTTGAGCAGGGTGATTATGAGCCCGTAGCAACTTATGACTCTACGAAAGCCACGTATCTCCAAGATCAAGAAACTCTTCAAGAAAGCCTGTTGGGTTTATGCTCCGCCAACGGATGGCATAAAAGTTCTAGAGCAGCATGCTCTCCCCGGCCGATCCTCGTTAGCTCGGAGCACCAGCGGCGATGGAGGGAGCTTCATGAAGCTCTAGTCCTAGCTATAACCGACATTGTGGAGAGATGGTTAACAGACACCGAGGCTGGATTTCCGGAACGGATGCCTTTGGAGCCGGAGGAGGAAGATCTACTGCGCGTATGTGATTTTGGAATGGCTCCCATTGCAGCGCACAGGTCTAACCTCAAACGGCTTTAGTGGATTGACGAGCAAGTGCCTCACAACCTTCCACGGTACCGAGACTGCCGGGGCTCATGGAGACCCGACTTCCTCGTGGAAGAAGACACCAGTGATGAGAGCTCGGGGCCTGTCGAGGGCTTCCGTATCAGTGAGATCAATGCCCGTTTTTCCTTTAATGGGTTTATGTACGTTGCTTGTGCGCAAAAGGCAATGCATGACATGGGTGTTTGCGACCATGGTAATGGCCTGGTAAGCGCCACGGATCCGGCGAAGGTAAGCTAAAGAATATACAATTTCCTGCGTTTGCTACTACTATATGCTGTATGCTGACGGAGACTAGATCGTGAATGGCATTTTAAGCCTCTTCCAGCCTAACCGCCCATTGCACCTTTTGAAGGGCGATGAAGCTGGAATTGACATCCACATGTTAGTGGACTTCCTCAACCGTTATCTGGGAATAAGTCCTCGATTTGTTACCCCTGCAGATCTGAGGCTATTGCCCGACCCGCAGGCAAAGGGGGGCTACAAGCTCTGCTGTGTGGTTAAAAGCCCGGATAGCTCGCAAAACTCCGATGCTTCTTCACTTATTTACCATAATGGAGAGTGCTTGGAGGAAATTCATCAGGTCGGTCTGGAGCTACACCAGCGAGAGATCAGTGCCTTGGGGCCGGAAATGCTCCGGCAAGTGAGCCTCAGATGCTTTAACGACCTGCGTACCATTTTGCTCGTTCACGATAAGAGAATGCTTGGAATCGTCAAGCAGGAACTTGACCATTTAGTGGCAAGAGATGTTCTTACACCGTCCCAAGCGAGAGTTCTCGACAAGGGCATCCCAGAAACAATTCTCCCTGGGTCTTTAGAGCTCGACCAGGCAATTGCTAACTGCAAGGAACTGCCAGGCCTAAAGGATGAATATCTTCTCAAGCCTATCCGGAGTGGAAAAGGTGACGGGATCGTGTTTGGTGAGGATATGGACTCGAAGGAGTGGATTTCAAGACTGGAGAACCTGCGGTCCGCGCAATCCCTATCCGGCAGTGGAACCTGTGTTGTCCAACGCAAGGTCAAGCAGCCTTTGTACGACGTGGTGTTGAGGCCAACGGGTGTCAAGACTAGATATCCGCTTATTGGAACTTACCACTCCATCAATGGAGAGTTTCTTGGAGTTGGGGTTTGGCGTAGCAGTGCGGATCGTATCTGCGCGATCAGTCATGGAGGTGCATGGACGGTTTCTGTTATGCACGATGAATAGCCATTGTTTGAGCGTTACGAAGTATTGGCTCTTGTTTTTACTATAATTTACATTTCTTGGATTCCCTCCGTCTTCATCTCTTTTCCGCTATGTGACAGCAGTAGAGTAACTGTATAGAAATGTGCCTCACGCTTCCCAACACATAACCATAGAGCTCGCCTAATCAGGTCGAAACTTTCCGGCCATTTGCGATGGACACGTGTCAGGAATGATCGAATTGATCGTCAAACTAGCGGCGCGAGCCGTATCCGAGAAAGTTCCCGGCCAGGTAAACTTGAGGCATCCCAAGAACACGTCTCAAAGATAGAGTCTTAAAGCTTGATCGTAATTTCTGTAAGTGATATTACCGGAAATGCAATCTTTCCTTGTCACTTCAGCTGAGTTCACGCTGAACTCATCGTTCAACGCAGGCCACTACTATCCCCTGCAACATTAGCAGCAGGGCTAGTATTACTAGGGACGCAGCTACAGACCGAGGGTCCTCCAGCCCATACTAAGTGGCAACCACTAGCGCGAAAGGTTGATGTGGCTTTTTTCAGCTGATGAATTCTGTGGCTCCACAGTTTCGTGGTGTCATATCCCATACATCAAGCATACAATACAAGAACCAAATTCCAAAATGCGACCGAATTGTACTCTAAACAAACATTCCTGCCCACAGGAAGGAGCAACGTACAGCTACTTCCCGCGTATCTGCCCCGCTGAGCTGAACTGGACTTTGGCCTGGCTCAGTATATAGTGCCCTGTGACCATCCTACTGCTGTGCCCGGATTATTCACGTCTCTTTTTATCAGATCAGATAAGCTGAATAACCATCTGGTTCCCTACTTTGCATATCTTTACAGTACACCCTACAGCTCTATTGATTCCAGTATACCCCAATCCTTGTTGATTACATTCTCCCCTTGGGCGAGGAAGAGATTTTCACAGAAAAGAAAAAAATGCAACAATTCATACGCAATGTCAAGCCCACCAGATTGGTAGACATATCTACGCGTTAGTCGTGTCCAGGGATCCCAGTTGTGATGAAAACCCTAATGCCGAGCAGAGACGTCCCGTGCCGTACCGCACTTAATAGCCAGCGACCTCAGCTGCGCAACGCGATCAAGCCACGTTACCGAAGTCTCAAACGCCCTCCGGAAAAGCGGCATCCTCAAAGTCAGCCTCCAGTTCAAAGACAACGCTAGCAAATACCTCCAAAATCTCATTCTCGGACTCCACAAACACCATGGACACGGGTTACCCATTACCCACAGTGCATCGCGCGGCTGGTTCTGGGACATTCGACCCAATAGCACGACATTCCAAACCCCATCCCATCAGGCCCGGTCCGAGACCATGCAGGAATTCCCGTGGCACACGGATTGCAGCTACGAGGAGGCCCCGCCCAAATACTTTGCGTTACAGGTTCTCCGGGAAGATCGCTGTGGCGGCGGTACGCTCTCGGTAATGAACGTGGGGAGGCTAAGCTCCATGCTCTCGCCGTCTACGTGCGCCGCACTGCTGCGGCCCGAGTTCCGTATCGATGTTCCTCCAGAGTTCGTGAAAAGCGACGCCAGCCGACACATTATTGGTAGCCTAATGGCTGCTGACTCGAGTGGTGCGCCAAGTATGCTGCGCTTCCGAGAGGACATCATGACTCCCTTGAGTATGGATGCTGCCGCCGCGCTAGCGGAGCTAAAAGAGTGTTTGCTGGGATTGGAGGTACAGACGGAGACGCTCCATCTTACGCCGGACTGCTTACCTCGGGGTTCTGTCGTACTCATGGATAACCGTCGGTGGCTTCATGCGCGGAACGAAGTTATGGATCCCGAGCGCCACTTGCGCCGGGTGCGCTGGGACGCGAGCCCATTTCCTGCCATGACTATCTAGCGCTTTCGTGGAAACTTTGGAGTGGAGCAATGGCATTAGGGTTGGTACTTGTTGCGGAGTTTTAGGTGCAAAAGTTACTAGTACTAATATCAATTAAGAAGCGTTATTCGAGTTTAACTGCGGGTTTTACTTGCTCATTGCCATACGTGACAGGAAAACTAAACGACTTCTCTTGAATCGATTGCTGTCGATCCACTTAAGCTATGGATCGTAGGGTTTCTTGGCAGCTGATCCAATAAAACTTTGTTCGACTCTAGGAACTTAGAAGATATTACCTAATTACTAAAATGGTGTAATATTATCATGGATTCTAATGGCCACTCACAGAGTTTCTCGATAGACTACAGTAAATTTTGTAGCACAGGATTCGATCCCAAAGACGTCAATTGCTGGCGCAGTGGTCCGCAGCAGCCAGATAAAGCGTGTCATAGGTGGAATAACAATCGCCTCAAAATCTTACGCTGCACTGTGTTCGCGAGGAAATTGATCCTTCAATGTATTCTTTAATTAGTCCTTTATGAATACGACTAATGTGATGTGATATATATCTCCTATACAAACTTATGCATGGCATACGAACGTGCATTGACTACATCCTGCCAATATATATTGTGGCAAGACGCCCCACATAAGGTATTTGATGCATGCAACAATCCCTCAAGATGATCCTCTTTGTGGTGCCCCTTCTCCGAGCTGTCTCGCGAATTTTCCTCTTATGAAATAGCGCGTTATATCCATATCTAGCGACAATTTGCGCACGCGCCATAGCTGCTGAGATGGCACCACAAGCTAATTCTAGTAATACAGGGTCATACTCCGCACTATTTCTCAAAATAGCGATTGTAAAATAGATATACATTGTCTCATACGGAGTGCTGCTTAGGGCCATGATTGGAAGGAAAGTATAATATTAATTAATATGAAGTGTAGCTCTCGATCGGGGACCACTATACCCACCAGTGTTTACTCTGGGTTACAAGCTGCTCCACTTGTTACGTGATGATCGGCGGTGAGCTGAACGGGAACTAAGTTAATCAACCGTGGACCATAGTGAGGTGCTTTGTCTTAGCTTCTGAAGATCTGCCTCGCCGCTGACTCAGTATTATTCAATCAATGGGGCATTGATTCGATCGACACAAACCAAGTTGCAGATCGATCGTCGAGCTGACTCGGAGCTGCATATGCCCACCTCACAAGTCCTTGTACAAGCAGGGGCCAATTTTCGAAACTGCCAAGAAGCGTCTGCTCAGGCATTTGCCGTCGTGCATGGCACTGCCAGGATGATTCGGAATTCGCCTGCGCCGGAGTTTGCCGGCGAGGGGTTATCCCAGCGATGCACAATATCGATCTAAGTGGATTTGAATATGGGTTGAGGTTACACTGTAAAAGCACAGACTTACGCTGAGAGACTATTGGCAATGGAGGCTCCACTCTCCTGCAACCACGGCTGTGTCGCAAGCGAAATTTCTCTTCTGACGGGAAACTTACAGGCTAATGCCAGTGAATTTTCAATACAAATTCACAGGTCTGTACGGAGTACCCGTGTTCAAGACAACTTTGAACACCTGTGCGCAGATCACACCAATAGCAGCGCTATATGTCAGCACTCTGCACCGGCGCTCAGGCCCAGCTTGCTCGCTCCAGGCCGAGGAGAAACAAATATATACATACGCACATCTGACCTCAGGTGCAGAAAATAGTGTTACAACAGAAACCCCTATATGCAAGGCGACAACGTCGTCTCGGATGACTGGATCTTGGAGCACGATCCTCGTCTATAGCAACCAGCGGTAGTTACTAGTGGGCGAACTGGCCCAACCTTGCCCCCACATATTGGAGACTAGTAGTGAAACACTTCCTCAGCTTTCAGCTCGTTTTTACGATGGTATCTAGTCGTCAATTTCTTGTTGGACGTACTTAATACCACGGCACAAACACGGCTTTCCCTTTTCTGGCTTCCATGGCCCTTTGTCTCCGAGGTAGGCTACACCGTGTGACCTGAAAATATCTCCAGGCCATAATTTTGATGCGCCACTGTTCTGTAACCTCCTTTTGGAAGTAGTCATTGGAGGTAGGAACCTACCGAGTTGTTGGAAGCATTTGATGAGAAGAGCCGGATATAATACCCGGCTTACCCAATTGGCTGGAGAATGATGCCCCAGGCTGCCGCTGAAATTTCCTGATCAGTCATTTAGGGCAAAACACGATCCATATGATAACGATGTATCAGAAGAGCATCTAATGTCGTTGTAGCCTACTCTACAAGAACAGATCATAAATGTGAGCGTCATGCACATAGTTCTAACATAGACCCAGGGTGATGTCAGTGCCGCACTGGAAGAAGAGGAAACCTCGACCAACATGATAGTCTGCCATGCTCCAAATCCCACTTATAGCCACACCATCCATAAATTGGAACGAAAAAGACCCGCAGTCGCCCGCAATCGAACGTAATGGTTACCCAGAAGTAGGGTGGTTCGGGTTGGACTCGAAACCCGACCAACACCCGGCCCGACCCGATAACCACTCTACCCAGAAGACCTTTCAATGGTTTGCTGTCCAAAGTAGCCCTCATCTCGATACCAGAGCTAAATACGCAACAACTATATATCAAGCTGGATCTATATCTAGGCATGACACAACAGTAGAAAGCAGACATCTGTCAGCATTTCGAACAAACTGTGCTTGATTGCTACCCTCGGGCTGGGGTTTCTCCGATTCCCGTTCCGATTAAGTCTAGGGATCGAGCGGAGAAGTGGGGCAGAATCTGATTTGTAGTCCACATCTGTGTTGATCTTCTATCTCCAATTACCTGGCTCTTCTCCACCAGACGACAAGACCGAAACCATGGTTGGCCAACCTTATTCTCGTAGTACCTGCTCTTCTCCTTGTTGCGGCGAACAACACAAACAGATCAACACCAGTGATACCGGCGTGCCCCAGACTTCTGACCAAGGGCAAACCGCGAACCGTCGTTCCACTGAGAAACCACAGGAAGAACACCCCAATAAACCTAACTGCTGCAAAGATAAGCCATCTCCCTGTTGTGATGTCTCTTGCCTTGATCGTATCGCCCTCCGTGAATGCCATAAAGAGCAGGTACTATCATCTACTGAAGCAGCTCCAAGTAAGTTTAAGTTGGCTACATCTGACCTTGGCCCTAAGCAGTCGCATTAATGCCCAACCGTAGAGGTTTCGACCCTCAGTTGCCAAAGTCCTGACGGAAGGCCATGTGACCAGCACCGTCGCTCAGCCCGCACCAAATACCTGGCCACACTGGAAGCTCTGGGCTGTATTTGCCGTGCGTTGATAGCCCTCGGACAGGAATCCTGCTGTGTACCGCTAGCACGCTCCTCTCTTGGTCAGAACCGTCGCTCTACCGACTCTTTCTGTGCGAAGGGCAGCCCGGGGTCCCAGAAATGCCGCAATGTGAGTGTGGAGACTGGAGGGGAGAGTTGCTCAAGCGGTTGCTGCAGTCCTCCTAAGGCTCCTATCGTGGTTGAGCAGTGTTCCTCCACTAGCAAGGAGAAGGCTGTTATCTCCGGTAGCTGTTGTAGTAAAAGTGAAACGTCTGAATTTGCCAGATCGCATACCTCCATTACAAAGGGTGAGTTCAGCAACATCACCACCGATTCGAAGGGCCATTGCGGTGAATCAAAGGTCTATCCGAGTTCATCTGCCGAGCGGTGTTCGTCTCCTGAAAACGGAATTCCTGGCACCGGTGAGTGCTCAAGTGGTTGCTGCAGTAAACGCAAAACAACCCCTTGTGCCTTAGATGGAGGGAAGGTCAATAAGCCCGCCTGCTCATCTCGCTGCTGTAGTAAGCCTGATGGGCCCTCCGACTTTTTGCCTGTAGCAAACGCTGATAGATCCGGACCTGTTACCTGTTCAACTGGCTGTTGCGGTAAGCCTGTAACATCTCCATGCACAATGACCGAAGAAACATCTGGCGACTTAATCGAGGCCATCCCGGCCGCTGCTACTCCTGACTTAGAAAAAGGAATGACGGGCAAGGAGCATGTCGTTTTGAGTATATCGGGGATGACATGTACCGGGTGCGAAACAAAACTTACCCGAACTTTGGGTACACTGCAGTCCGTCCAGAACCTGAAAAGTAGCTTGGTGCTCTCCCGAGCAGAGTTCGACCTCGACGTGGGTATTCAATCACTCGATGAGGTGTTGAAGTATTTGGAAAGGACTACTGAGTTCAAGTATGAGCGAGTCACGGATCGAGGATCTCGTGTCGACGTTATCGTCCCCAATGCGTCCGAGTTCATGAAGCATGACTGGCCTCGTGGCGTAACCGAGATGACACTTATTGACGATGGAACCGTGAATGTTGCTTTCGATGCGAAGATAACTGGAGCGCGAGATCTGGTTGAACATGGCTGGGGCCGTACTCTCAGCCTGGCTGCTCCTCTGCCTGATCCGACACTCCAAGCTGGTATCAGGCATGTGCGCCATATGGGATACATGACTATTCTGCCCATTATTCTAACAGTGCCTGTCTTGGTCATGGCTTGGGCTCCACTTCCAGAGAAGGAAACCGCCTATAGCTCTGCATCGCTGGCACTGGCGACAGTTGTCCAAGTGGTCATTGCGGGCCCGTTCTACCCAAAAGCATTGAAAGCCTTGGTGTTTTCTAGGATTATTGAGATGGACCTGCTCATTGTGCTGAGCACGAGCGCCGCCTACATTTTCTCAGTAGTCTCATTTGGATATGCCATTGCAGGCCAGCGACTCTCGACTGGTGAGTTCTTCGAGACCAGCACGTTGCTGGTTACTCTGATAATGGCTGGTCGGTATGTCGCCGCACTTGCTCGTCAGAAAGCCGTCGAATCCATTTCGCTTCGGTCACTCCAGAAGCCTACTGCTATCCTCACGGATTCCTTCGGGTCGAGTGAAAAGGAGATTGATGTCAGGCTCCTTCAATATGGGGACATCTTCAAGGTCTTTCCAGATTCTCATATTCCTACCGACGGCACAGTTATCGGAGGCTTGTCAGAGGTTGATGAGTCAATGATTACTGGAGAGTCTATACCGGTAGACAAGTCCCTTGGATCTGCCGTTGTCGCAGGATCTGTGAATGGATCTGGGACGTTGATTGTCAAACTGACGCGTCTCCCTGCTGATAATACAATCTCTACTATCGCAGATGGTAGATCAAGCAAAGATGTCAAAAGCAAACATCCAGGATATCGCGGACCGAGTGGCGAGCTACTTTGTCCCCGTGGTAGTCGCTCTGACGATCATCACCTTCGTGATCTGGATTGCAGTGGGCATTACAGTGCGAAGCCAGTCTGGATCTCGAGCAACCACGGAGGCCATAACATACGCTATCACTGTTCTGATTGTTTCTTGTCCCTGTGCGATCGGCCTGGCAGTACCTATGGTAATCGTTATCTCCAGCGGCGTCGCTGCCGAGCGAGGCATCATTTTTAAGAGCGCGGATAGCATCGAGCTTGCCTTCAAGACTTCCCACGTGGTATTCGACAAAACTGGAACACTCACCCAAGGCAAACTGACCGTTGCTATTGAGCATATACACACCACGAGGGATTCCATGTCTCTACTTCTTGGCCTAGTGGGGAGTAACAAGCACCCAATTTCCGCCGCCGTTACTGCATATCTGAAAGCCAAGGGCATCTCTGCATCTCCTGTCTCTGACACAAAGTTACTAACCGGCAAAGGTGTAGAAGGGTCTGCACCGGAAGTCATCCTCCGCGCAGGAAACTCACGATGGCTGAACCTCTCGTCCCATCCGCAGGTCCAATCGGTCCTTGAACGAGGCTATACAGCATTCTGTTTCACGATAAACGACAAGCTCGCCGCCGTCTTTGGCTTAGAAGATTCACTTCGCCCAGACGCCCTCGAAACCATCACCAAACTCCAGGAACGTGGTGTATCCGTCCACCTCCTCTCAGGTGACGACGATGGCGCCGTTCAGTCCGTCGCGAGACAGCTTGGCATTGCAGCTGAAAATATCCGCTCCCGCTGCACCCCGGCCAGCAAACAAGCCTACATCCAAGCCCTCCTGACCCCAGTCGATCAACCCGCTCCCAGGAGGAGTCCAACAACAATCTTCATCGGCGACGGCACAAACGACGCCATCGCCCTCGCCACCTCCACAATCGGCGTACACATGAACCACGAAACCGGCACCGACGTTGCCAAATCCGCCGCAGACGTTGTGCTGATGCGGCCCACCCTACTCAGCATCCTGACGATGATCAACATCAGTGAGAAGGCGGTGCGGCGGATCAAGTTCAATTTCGGCTGGAGCTTTGTGTATAACTTGTTTGCTATCTTGCTCGGTGCCGGGGCGTTTGTGGATGCCAGGATTCCGCCAGAGTTTGCGGGGCTAGGGGAGCTGGTTAGTGTCTTGCCTGTTGTTCTTGCGGCTGTGCTCTTGAAGTGGGCAAGGGTTTAGGTACGAAGGTACATATGGCAAAGGTTTGGATTCTGTATCGTGAGGAATTACGTTGCATGGTGGGTCAGCTTATGCAATTGACAGCCAGCACTGCCATGGGGCAGGACGAAAGCTCCATGGCCGCGTCAAACGTATATCCAGTTTGGCGCCAAGCAATTGACAAGCGCCCCTACATGTCGTATTTCTGAAGAAGGTAAAGCATGAATTTTCAATGATCAGGTATTAGGTCTAAGATGATAATACTGCTCTCTGTGGACTATCTGTCCCTAAGACGTACTACTTTAGACTACTTAGACACAGGGCTTACCCGGGGCATCATTCAAAAATATACGACCGTAAAACAGGATGGAATCCTTCGGCCCATCCCAGCTTAGTATCTGTCTGTGGTAGCGGGAGGCATTGAGGATTCTTTATGCTCTGCACGTTAGAGCGAAAAGGAATCGTGAATTTTGTACTCGTTACATGTGGTGGCCCATAATTATTGTAAAGACAAGCATGATAAGGCAGTCCCCTCAAAGGCCCATTCCAAGCCCTACAGGTACTCAGAAGTACAAGAGACTGCTTCTCCTCCAATCAAGGTCTGCCCGTGTGATCATCTCGACTCTAAAGGCTCTGATTTTCCTGTCAATCGCCGTGGCCATCCGCAGTTACTGTCAGTGCGACCATTATATATCGTGGGCTGATTCTTCTGTGCCCAATCCACTAATTTTGGATACAGACATTCAAAGAAACGACTGTACAGCATGTGCTTCGGTGTTGTGGGTTAGGGTTATTTGATCCCGAAGATATCTGCAAAGAGCCAGCTGATAATGTCGACAAAGAATAGATCGACTTGTACATACAAGTTGACGATTAACATCCAAGGGTCGAATCGACAAGGATCCACTTAGAAATAAAGTTAGCTTACCCCAAGATCCCCGCTTTTCGTATTAGGCACACACATTGGAGTCATCATCTCGTTCACGGATCCTTCCGACGCGCAGCCCGGAATTCAATCTCCGACTCTTGCATATCGCTACATATCACGATTTATTTGCACCCCCGGGGCGATCCTTTTCGAGTGGGGTCTCTTCCACCACGATACCTCTCGAGACGCTGCCATGGAGTCGACTCCGCGGAAGCCCCGGAAGCTAAATAGCCCACGGGGCGTCCACAAATCCGGCGCCAGTCATAATGATCCGACCCGAACGATAACCGGTCAATCATCTCGTGTTCACAAGAAGCAATGTGTTCCTGCTGCTCAACATCGCCGGGCCACGAGTGGTTTCCAGGAAGACTGCTCAGGCGTGTCTACAGGACATGTAACGCGGTATGCTCTGCGATCATCCACGATACGAGTTCGAATTGAGGAACTAATCTAAGCATTATGGCTACCCGCAGGATCGCCGAAGATAAATATGATGATCCCGCGCCTGAAAGCTCCCACGATATGTTTAATCTGCCCCTGCCGCGTGGTATCGACCACGAAGTGCCCCGTTGGGCTGCGGTCTATTCCATGGCCGAGGAGGTCATGCGCTTCCTTCCACCCCAGGACAGTATATCGGATCAAGAGGAAGAGTTGACAATACCGGACAGCGAGAGGAGTCATTCGGATGCAAGAGTCCCTGAAAATATTGCTGCTCGCCCATTGTCAAGCTCCACAATAATAGCACAAGGAGATACAAAGAACCCAGCCCCTGCGCTCGAAAACGAACCCATACATAATATATCAGCTACACGGCGTTGGAATGATTGGGCCAATAATGAAGGCTTGGAGGCAATGGCTCCAGTGCATAGTGGTGAATGGCTGGATCTAAGCGATATTGATGCTTTGCTTAGATTTTGACGACGGCCCACTGGGTTGAATTTTCTACATTAATTAGGCCAATATAAAAAGGCTCTTGTTACAGAAAGTGCGGAAAATTGGAATACTGAAGGGACTACCGACATGAGAAAGAACTGAGTAGTGGAGTACGAGAGTGGTTTCTAAGACCACGAATTGAGTGTACCAGATTTCATCATATTCCTTGTCAAGTTACTTCTGATTTTCAGGATGAGACTATACCTAACCTAGTCCAACCTGTATCTTGATCCATTTGACCGTTTCAGTTCCCCCACTTCATCTTCTATTCATGGTCAAAACTGCTTAAATGTACCAATATGATTTGTTAGGTCTACTGATCAAACCTGACCACACACTTCAGGACCTTTCTCCAATCACAAATAAATCCGGAACCCAAGCCACCACGTGCTCAGGGTAACCCACTGTGCTTCAGCCAGCCCAAGGACCGAGTCAAATCTCTTTTTACCCTCCTGAATCGGGGTAGGTGCAGGAGGTTGAGGTTGAGGGTGGGAGAGTCGAAACCAGTCCTGATAACAGCTCTACAATTACCCTTCACAACTAGGGCTCATTAGCAAAGACTATCACTGCCTATTCCACACCATTTGGTTGATAGGGGAGTGCGAGAGGTGTTGATTTTCAATCGCATCCGACTTGTCACATGCCCACCCCGATAGAAAGCAATATATGATGGCCATCTGCCTAACAACTCTTCGCTGGGTAGCGTTGATTTAGCTATCTGCCCGATATGCATCACGGTTGTTTCTCTTGGAAGAGGCCACCAATGGGAGACATTTGCAGGGCCGTAGTGCATATCAGCAAAGGTGGCTTAAGTGGTAGCACCTCACCTCCGGCTCATAGCGGGCCTTTTAAAGCACAGGCTATGCCGGATCAGTTCAACTAGCTGATATAGAAGTCTCCTCTTTGCAATAAGCAATAAAAGGTGATTTGAGCTTGATCGGAGGATATTGGATCTTCTTACTTGCAACTGGCGAACATCGCAAGAAGCCTAGGCGGCTACACATGAGACATTGAGGCAGCGCTCTCATTCAAATCTAAGACAGGGCTATGCACCATCCCAATAGTCAAGTGTCTCTACTTGACGCGCGTCGGACCTCTGGTCTTCGGGCCATGAATGTGTACAACCCAACCTGGCCCGGTTTCTCGCGTCTCATACGCTACGGGCGACTCATGGAAAGCCCGGAGACTGATTCTGCCACTAAGATTGGCTTGTTTCGTTTGTACGGTTGGTGTTACAACATTAGGTTGTTCAGGCAGCGATCTACACAGCTGAATGAGAGCAAAATATGGTGAAAGTGGCAAAAGACGCGGGCAAACGACTCTTGCAGATAGTTTAAACGCGCACCCCCTTAAAGGGCAGAATTAAATGCTAATTCCACTGCTGAACTTATATGTGGTGTCTTTGGCGTTATATTCCACCTAGCCTCTCCTTCACCATTTATCTCTACGCTTTTGGGAACAAAGAGAAAGCCCAAACTGCTAATAAGATGTCTTATCATCGAATCCTCCCCAGACCTGACACTTGGGGCAGTGAGCCCCCTTTAATCGACCATGCTCAGGCGACTAGTGATCCTGTTCAATATCAGCCAAGTAACGGTGCTGTTTTCAAAGCTTATCCCGAGGAAATGCAGGTTGACTTCAGATCAGAAGGTGCGTTTCCATTTACATTCAACGACCCCATGTGGACCTGTCGGTTGACTTCCAACCGCCTTGAGAGCCTCTGGTCGAATGCATCCTAGACATCACTCCACTGTGAGATGCAGTTGGGTAACAGCCAAGCATAGCCTTTGCCCACTACTGTCAACGTTACCTGCCTGTCGTGGCGGCGGCCAACCGAGGACTTCTGCCACCGGCTATAACCAGGATAGTACAGGAACAGTGGAATCGGCTTTCCCAGGCGGAAAGGAATCAGTGGCCGATATTGAGCGAAGTACGTCTGGCCATCTGCTATGTGTTATATGGGTCGGGTGATAATTCAATACTAATGAACTTAAGATTCCAAACTACGAGGACCGCCAATGCCGTTCGGAGGATGAGCATCAGTCCCGCGTCAAAGATGAGGACAACGACACCCGTTGGGGAAGCTCCGTCCAAGGGTATACCAACCCAGTGGAAGATCCGAGGATTACGTCTGTGGTTCAAAACGGAACATGTTCCCCTACGTCATTACCCCCGTTCACATCCTTGTTTTTGGATGTCAATGATAGCTTTGGCCAATCAACAGACCTGCGCAGCACGAAGGACCTCTCTGATGGCGGCCCTATGGCGGTGGCGCATTCTTGGGACGCACCCCTTCACCAGCCCCAGTATGACAGCGACACAATGCGAGATCACAGCCTGGATACACATAATATCCAGCCTGGGCCGTCTTCAAACACTCAGGGATGTAATCGCCAGAGCCTGACATCTTTCACACATACTTCTTCCGGGGAACACAGCGACGAAGACATGCTACGCACCTCGCCACTGATACGGGCGCCACAAAAGCCTAGAGCGCATGCACAGTATGAGCACACTCAGTCCCAGCCTCTGACCGCAACTGGCCCTGCCTCTACCCCAGAGATCACAGCCAAACTACTTTCAGTTTTCAATAAGATTGGCACGCTAGCCTATGGTTCACCGCCGATCAATCCCGCGTTTCAAAAGAGTGGTTCTCGAGGTCCAGTGATATCTGTAGATGGACAGGATTCTTTGAGTGTCAAATCTATCATTGACTATCTTCACAGTACCTTACCAATGGAAGGATTCCGCACCCGGGTTTTCAAGGGACCTGAAGCTCGGCCCCGGCATATGTCGCGTCGCAAATATGGCCCCATAGTTGAATATCTGAACAATGTCTCCGCATGGCATCCCATCTCAGCCCAAGTTGTCGACTATATCCAACACCCATATAGAGGGCTACGGGCCAAGGCAAAGCGTGGTGACGACCTGGGCAACGGGTCGGTGCCGGTCTCGCGCGACACAGGTTACCCACTTCCTGTGGCGCTCATCGCAAGATACCAGCTTACAACCGTGGATGCATTTGCTTGCGAGATCTCCGTGGACGATCCCTATTCGCAAACGAGTCACCAGCAGTGGATGGAATCTCTCTGGCGTGGCTGTGTCGGTCCCGACATTGTTGTGTATATCCAGGATCACGAAACTCCGGAGATGGGATCATCGCAGGATCTCGTGTACAGTGCTCGCTTACAGGACACTCTTGGTATCGTGATCCCGCGTGCTAAAGGCTCCGCCAAGGAGCCTAAGGAGAGAGTGCTAAGACACGTTGTGTGGGCTATTGATTCTATCGTGATGAGCGCTCGTGCGCAATAATGCGTTATTGGTTTCCTTGTTTCCTTGGTGTCTTTTCAGTTCTGACTGCGAGCTCTATGCCACGAACGATAAATTGTATCCTTAGCATAGTATATGAGATGCTAACCAGCTGTGATTCGTAAAATCAATTTTCCACCGTCGATACGTTGTGCATTACTCTCCTAGAGAACATCATTACCAGGTGGGAAGTGGCCATGTCTTCAGGTATCGCAAATCTCTTGTTAATTCGTCTCTAGAGTGTCACACAAACAAACGCAAAGAAAACTGGCATAAATCTAGACGCGGCTGATAACCAGACCACCAATGAAATAAAAAGGAAAAAGAATCCTTTCCGGGAGTTCTCTCTTTTTGGGGGGGTCCTAGCATACGAAGTGGCTTGTCGAGCATTCAAGTCCGCGAATCATATATATAGGAATCCTATTCGACTAGCTCCTGTTCTACGACACACAAACGCGTGCCATGTTTGATGCGAGGAACCCTCGTACGAGCCTACTGCAGAACAGTTACACCGTTGTCATCAACGCGTATCACAAGGCCAAAATGCACCCCTCATAGCTTGGGGCGTTAGGTAACGGTAATCTTCCCCAGGCTGGCTAGGGTTATGTTGTATGACGGTTGTCGATTCGAACACGCCAGTAAGGAAATCACGTCATATTACACAGCCTGCAGGACCGCGGAGTTGTCCATTTCGTGGACTAAAATGCCATAATATTCGGCTCTGGCTAAGGTGGTTTATCTTGGTCAATACACAGCCTTTCCGCTCTTTCCAGGGTTTTTACTAGTGTCCACCTGTACCATGTGGTTAAGGCTTTCTATAGAGCATGGTCCTATGAGCAAGTGACACTGCAGAAAATAACATCCGGTCTCTCCATGCAAGCGGAAGAGTCCTAGAACTTAATTAACTACAGCCATGGAGCTGACTGACAAGACATTAACTTGTCGAAATACCGCCGTGTAACTGACGTACTCGTCGGTTGTCTCACGGTACACCCGTGTGATAGGAGCTACATCCGGAGGTCATGCCCTGAGATGCATTTCTCTTCATGGATTGGCATTGCTAGGCAACTAGCCTCTTTGGTATCCCTGCTAGTATACGAATAACGGTGTGAAGGTTATACAGAGATATCTAATTGGTCCGTCTCGTAATCATTGCGATGTGATCGATTCTTTTACACTTAGTGGCTTAGAAAACTAAGAAGCTGTGCTAAGCCATTTCGCATCCTCTATATCCTCCGAGGGCGATATCGGGATGGACTCAGAGGTAAACTCAAATTTCGGTAATGGCAGCTGGTTAACGGCCTGGTAGAGACTCGATGGACAGGGTAATCTGCTTCAAGGGTTTATATTCGTGGATTGGGTATAATGTGCACAACCTTCCGTACTATCCCTATGTAAGAGATTTTGAATAGTTGGGTAATAATGACGCGGATAGCAAGGGTTGCATACAGAATAGCACTCTATAATATCCTCGATGTTGGCCATGTACAGCGACCAGGGCTATAGAATGGTCTTTATCTGAGATCTAAACTTACAATCACTGTACATGACACAACGATCATTATTATGATACTAGTGGTTTTTATATGACTCGGACAGGAGTTTGAGCTGAGTGGGATACCTGTAGAGGGACTTCGTGGAAGACATAAAGATTTTACGACGAAGCTTGATGTTTTGGCACTGCAAAAGTACCAATAATACCTGTTGCCTGCTGTTAGTGACACCAGATCCCTGTCGCCGTTGTAGCGCCCAACTTTCAGCCTGACGATCCCACCAAGAACCGAGTACCCATCACAGTATCCATCACAGCTATGGAGATGCCCTACTAAATAAGCCATAGCAATGGACGAATATTCTTCTTTACATCGAGAGATCCACTCTCTAACAACTCTAACTTCCCTCATCTTCCAGCGACCCCCGGAATGCATCAACTATGGCCAACTCGGTGACGACAAACCATCATCCAAAGAACCTGAACAGGGAACCGATGAAGAGCTGGACAAATTGTCTGGAGAAGCAGAATTTGAAGATGAAGTGCCTACCGACGACTCGACCGCTGCCCTTGTCTTGAAGCGACGCTCGTTGGATCGCCTTGCTGAGATCCTAGCCAGGTTTAAGACAGCCAAAACAGGCCCATATGGGAAGGGAAAGAGGAGCCAGGGCAACATTGATGCAAAGCATGTCGCGAGTGTAGTTATGGTGGAGGACAGTAGTCTTCACCGTGTAACCTTTTTGTGTTCCAAGAATGAGGGCCTTCAAGAGGAGGACGAAGTGTTCCTCGGCAGGCTAGGCGAGCTGCTTTCTTTTATTTTGAACGATAGTAGGTCTTTCTTTCCGGCTCCTTTTTTGGTCTGGGGCATCTGAGTATTAGTAGGTCCAGAGGAAGCCCATGAATCACAGGTGTTTGATCTCATATTTGAGCACAACAGACCTCGAGTTGAATATTACTCGGTAGCAGTTCGACAGGCATTTGAGCAGGCCTCTAAGGCCAAACTGTCTGATACGCTCACGGCAGATGTTATGAAACATGTAGTACCCCAGACACTGGAGGCAAGGGAGTGGGAAGGTCTTATTATTGGCATCGACGGGAGACAACCCGAACTCTCGCGGGAGGCTCTCGACTGCCTCTCAGACGAAGATAGGGATGAAGCGGTGGTAGAGGTATGCGTTAGTATCCAGACACTTTTCGGGATGTCTGATCTTAGTACCACGCACTATGACGAGCTACGGGATTTCCTCAGGCGCTTTTACACCATCATCCAAAATCCCAGACAGCGGCCAGCCCTGAAGAATCTACTTATGCAAGCGCTACATGGACACAAAAAGCTTTTCAAAAAAGCTTGGGATGCCCTTCTCTTCCTCGCTCGAACTTTCCACGCCGCAGTAACATTAGTCAAACTGGCTTCAAGACTTAAGCTGGAACATTTCAATTCCTTTGGGTTCATCTTCGTCCCAGCTTCCATATTCCAAACTAAGAGTTACCCTCCACTGGGCAAAGGATTACCGCTGGACGACTTAATGGCACTCCAGTGTCGGCCACAGCATAATGGGTGGGTAGGACTTTTGCAAGACCAAGGAACTATCAGAAATTATAGAAAATTACTGCGTATTCCCAGATCAGTTCACGCGGAGGTTCAGCTGATGATGTACCTTGAGAGTCGCTATTCTGATAGCGTCGACCAGGTCTTTCCCTATATCGGATGTAGCAAGAAGTGCTGCTTTTTCTGTGACATGTTTCGAGGGGTTCACGGGAAGTTCTGGGCGCGTGGAACGCATGAAACGGTCTTTCCTAGGTGGGGATTACCGCAAGATGTATTAGCAGGTGGCAGCCTAGAGTGGCTTGATCAGCTGATGAGCGATTTTGCTGCATCTCTGAGAAGAATGCTGCATAAGGTGCTCAGCATGCCATATCCTCTTCCCCACAGAAACCTATGTCAGCAATCCTCGGCAGCGTTATCCACGGCGCAGGCCAGGCAAGACGATGAACCAAGATATTCTGAAAAACCTTCAACCCTAAGGTAAGGCCCCCATGGCATATTTTAAACTGTCTGGTATTGATAAGTGCAGAAGTCTTATGGTTCCGGGTGCCTTCTCTGCTGCTGATAGACAAGTTCAGTTTTCACCTGTAGCTGGTAAACCAGGATACGCCAATTTCCTAGCGCCGAGTATGCCGCACATTAGCACCCATCTGCCAATTGACCAGGCTGAGATGTACAAAATCAATCACGACAGAAGACAATGCTCATTGGAACGAATAGATGAGATGCCACCGCCTGTGATCACCAACGCCAAGCTGTGCCGATATTGCAGTAGACCAGCTGGAGCCAGATGCTCGGCATGTTGGACACAGTACTGCTCCCACACTTGCCAACGGCGAGATTGGCAGAGGCATGTCTTCATTTGCCGGACACCGAACCGCCCCATCGACATTGACTTTTTCAGACTGATTATCAGACGTGTAAAGAGGGCAATGACGGGCGACAATCAGCAAATTCTTCAGGATTCACTTCTCGATCTGTTTGCTGATGATTATATCTGCTGCAGGTTTGGTTTTAACAACTGCTCGAATATTGTCGAGGCTCTCCATCTCGTCTGTCTTTACGATGCTGTGCTAGTCAGCTGTCGCTCTCCTGTCAGAGTCCTTAATAAGTACCAGGAGGCTGGAAGGCTTGGTGAAGTTCTAGAGCTCTTCTGTGATTTACGTATCAAGCAGAACCCCGGACAGCCGCAGTGCGACTGTATAACATGGTACCTAGAACGCCTCAAAAGAGGACCGTTTCCAATCCCCAACATGGAGAAGGATGTTTACGGGATTTGGGAGACAGCATTTGCCAATGCAATAGATCTTCTGGACTTGTACGACAAATTCGAAAAGGGATGGAGATTAACCCCCGGGCAGGCTGAAGTCTTCAAACTGTTCATAGCCATACAACCTTCCATCTGGCAAGTTCCAGATATCCACTCCTCGGCCTGGATCAGCTTTGGCTTCTGCTACTGCAAGTCCTTCCGACAGTGCCAGGAGCTCTCTGTCAAGTATCTGTTGCTGGCTGCCTCCAGCGCGACCTTTGACGACATAGTCTCCGCATATGAAACCTCCACGATGGCAGAATTGATGGCAGAACATGGAATTGATCTGTCGAATCTAGCTCAAAACGGAATCCGACTCAAAAGGCCTTCTGGGACGATCTACTCTGTGTTCAGGCTCATGAGTGGAGTAAGTCATGCTCTCTCTGGCAGGTTTTGCAGCTGCTTTAGAATGCAGCTTGATCACCCATATCACCGCTACTTCGAAACACATCTCGATCCTGAGTGTGAAGTAGGCTTCGGCTTCGATATGACCAACAGCTGGGAGAGGTGGCAGCTTCTGAATTTCTACCGGCATGTATTCAAGTTACCAGGATTCGATCCCCGAGCGATGGCAGCAGCGAAGGACAGCCATGAATACGGAGCCCTTGAGCGGTATCTTGACACTTTGGTTCCAGATATGAGACTGAAGATCTTTGATATGGATCGAGCAGCGTCTTTTCTATTCCCTAATCTCGGCGCAAGGATCATGGTAACTACTAAAGGTGCAGAACAAACCTCTAGCTCACATCTCTCTTGTCACTGTCGGGTGCACGATGTCTTGGGCCCACCAGGTGTCTGCTATCGAAGGTGGTGTGGCATACAGAATTGCACTAGTTCTTTTGTATTGGCTGGAGAGGCCGACTAGAGAAATAAAGACTGCATCGATATTTTATTCATGATAATCGAAGCTTAAGGTTGCAAAAAATAATTAAGCACAATGCTGCCTTCAACTATGGAATCTTCACCTGACTCGGAACTGAAGATTGTCGGCGAGTGCGGCCGATATCAATGTTTTTGGCTCGCTATATTGCTTCGTTGCCTCTCCCTTTGCTTCGCTCCTCCAACTTAGTATCGATGACTCCAATCATAAAGTAGTAGGTTACCAATCCAGTCTTTGTTTCTACCTTTTCTCAGACCCGTGGTGTAGATATATTGGACTAAACTCCACAGGCCACAAACGTATATACATACTATCGCAAAGCTTAAGGATCTTGGATAATTGATATTATTCGGACCATCCTTGCTGAACTTTCCAACCCTGATAAAAAAGATATGGTCCACGCTTAGGTTCATATCTGCATGGTTGTTTGGCTTCTAAACTTCCTACGCTCCAGCAAAGCCTTAATATTGTGGAGTGCTGTTCATGGCTCAGGCACGAAAAGTCCCCTGTTCACCTCCGCATAGTCTCCACATAGTTAAGTAGAATAAGGATGCAAGGAATACGAAGGGTGGATCCGTCCCTGATCGATTTAATTTGTGGCAATGCCAGGACTATGACTAATTCCCAGACAGAAACTAGGCAGACCACCATCGATCGACAGACTGCTCGTATTGAAGATCTGTCGAATCCCAGTTCTACAGCTCCTCATCAAAGCATTATCTCTCCGAGCTAAAGGGGTACCGTGAGCAGACTTCGGCAGGTAGACCTAATATCAACGGTTGCCAACCAAAAAAAGTCTGTATCTGAAGTTATACAATACACTATGGGTACGAGCCAAGTCTGAACATTTATGTACAGTGTAACTAATTGCATACTAAAAGAATCCGAGGTTCGTTATTCATTCGTCACGCGCAGTGCGTTCCCTCTGACATCTTTGCTCAGCTCCCGTGCACGCTGTGTGGTATCAGCTTCAACATCTCACGTATCCGGACCATCGATGAGCCCTACTCAGGGGCGTGGTCCGCAGAAGACTCGACACAATTTATTTGTGCCCTCGATGATTACGACGACGACGGCAATGACTGTGGTCAGTGTATCACCACTGAGACAGGCTGTGTTTGGCTTGTTCGCAACTCTCAGACTATAAAAAATGGCATTGATCAGTCAGAGGAGCCACAGTATAGATTCCTATTCTTTGAAATGGATGATGGCCACCTCCCCACGGTCGGACAAACACTGCCGATGGGCGAACGGTTGGAGCAAAAGGCAGGTCGCATTGGCATAAGAAGGGCTCATCTTGAACATGTCGCTGGTCCGGGATGTCGTTCTACACTGGGATATTCCGGGACCACCATCTCTCAGGAGGAGATGCGAGGCTGCCACACTGGGCAGGGTCTGGTCTACCGCGACGAGGACGAAGAGTCCGCGCCAGATGACCTGGAATGCGAAATTAACAGCGATTATTTCCTCTCGGGGCTCGTGGACTGCATGCCGTATGTTGAAACTGTGGGTGGGGATGTGTTTCCCGCAAGACATGGCTACGATTGGATTGAACCGGCGGACCCGTTCAATGATGTATGAGCCCCTCTACTTAATTTCTGTGTAGTGTGATTTTAACCGTCTATGCTAGGGGTTTGAACGCTACAGAGCACTGCCGTTCCATCCATGGTGTTTCGGGGTGTACATGAAACTCTCCAGACTTCGACTTGGCCGTGTCGAGATCAACGATCTCGTGGACTACTTTGACAATGTCGAACGTTTCCCACGCCAATACTATGACGAGCCCGATCCCGCCGTTCAGAATGCGGCCGGTGAATCGTGGGTTCATGTGAAGGGCGATGAATGGCTCGCCGCGAACCCGTTCTACGTGCCCAGGCTTCGGGAGATCCTGAAGCGAGCGATGGATACTGGACCGTCATTCAGTCCTCAGGATGGTGCATTTGAGCCTCTTATATCGTTGACCCACAAAACACCCGACCCATTTGCTCGATTACCACGAGAAATACTGGATATGATTATTAACAACCTCTCCACGAAAGACATTGCATCACTTCGTCTCGTCTCACGGCAGTTCTACCAGCTGCACGTCTCACTCTGGCATCGCCTGATCCAAGAGGAAATGCCTTGGTTATGGGAGGTCTGGTCTACTGAGAAGCCCTACTTCTGGGCGACAGTCACTGCAGAGGATATAAAACAGAATAAAGGGGAGACCAGAGTTGAGCACGGAGAGGAGAAAGTGTTGACACATAAAATAAGCGTTGAGGAGCATCTGACCAAATGGACAATGCCAATGCCTACACCGAGCCCAACGAACTGGTTTCTCCTGTATAGGGATATTAAGCGACATTGGACCGAGTTGAAGGGCCTGCGGAACCGACGAAGGATCTGGAATTATCAGGAGGGTATGATTGCATCTTTGAGGTTGTATATGATGGGCTTTGAGGGTTATCTGCTCGATGAGGAATCGATATCTAGCTCTTCCTCCCTATAATTCTGATGATTCTATCTCGTTTGATTCAATGTCTGGGCCTAACGGTCATATCCTGCCACCACAAGGGGCATAAATTACGCCCACTATTCATATAACTACTGGTCAAGCTCTCAGTTCATTCTCTCCACCATAAGTAAACCCTCGCATAATGAAATGATATGTGTCGCTAAAACTTGGAGTTTGCAAACAGATTCTACAACGAGCTTCCCGAGCTTCCTGTATTACCAGTGCCGCCTAAACCATCCAGGGTTCCCCAGCTGGATCCAGAAGACCCAGACTGGCCATTACAGCCAAGATGAAGAGCTATATCTGCCTAGCGTAGATAATTAAGAATTTACATGAGTCCATGCTCGTCGATCTAGAATAGCATATAAACGAATGTTCCGTACAAACCGGGATCCTCTAACAAATAGTTCCCTAATGCGCCAACCCCGCCAAAGGATACCTAGGCTCCAGTCCAAGAATCCTGCTCAATATTGATAGACTCGGCGTGCCAGGTTTTACCACCGTCGGAGGTAGTGAAACCACTGGAGTTAGACCCTTTGTACAGGAAAAGAGTGTCGCCGAACTTCTCGTCTTCGGCACTGAGGTGGATAGTGATGTTGTTCCAGCCTATTCATGTCAACATTTGAGTTCCTATGTGGATTTATTTTTGAAGAACTTACTGTAAGCCTCGAGAGTGCCGCAGTTGCCAGAGCCAGTATAGCATTCGTCACCAGAGTACAGGTAGAGGAGCTCGGCATCGAGGTCTGGAATTACTTATGTCAGATTTTGAATGTTAGGCATTGATCTGCATCAGATGAGGACTCACCGTCAGTTTCCTGAGAGACGACCTTGCCGTCCATGGTGACGGTCTGGTAGACCTTGTTGTTCTCGACGGCGACTGCGCATTGTCAATATTTCTTTCCGAAGATAAGTTATCTTCATTAGGGAGACCTACCCTCAAAATCAACTTGGCTGCCGGTAGGAATAGTAACGTAGGCCTGGCCGTTCTGGCCATCTATCATGATGTGTAAGCATGGAAACCTAATAAGACAATAAGGAGATACTAACTAGGAGTATAAGTGCTAGCAGCAACACACCACTCCTCAGCCGTAGCAGCACAGCCCCTAATACCATGTCAGTCCTCTTATTCGCATTCCCTATATCGTGGTTCCTAAGGGCTACATACTGAGACTCCTGGTCAGGAGACCAGTTCAGCAAAGGCTGATACAGGTACGAGCTGTCATCACCGTTGGTATGTTGAAGACCGATCCAAAGAGATACCCAGACTTGGTCGCTGGGGTCCTGGACCTCAACACCCTGAGGAACAGCCGGAGGCACAAGAGACCAGGTTGCCTTGGTGATGTGGGCGTTGGTTGCGGGACCGGAGTAGAATCCGTTGCCGAAGGCCCAGGAGTCCTTGGTGGTGGCGGCAGCGCGCAAGGCAAGAGCCAAAGGAGCGACGGCATAGGTGGAACGCATTCTAAGTGTAGTTGAGCAACTGGGGTGATTAATTATGATATCGCGAACCGGTCGCGTGGAGAAATGAATGAAATGCTGTAGGAGAAAAGATGGAACGATAGGAGATGCTGAACTAGAAGGGGACAACTGTATGTAAGTATTTTAAACCCGAGCACCCTAGTTTGATGATTTGATTGCCGGATAATTTATCGGCACATTAAGCCAGGAGCAAGGTGGAGCCCGTTTTACCTATAGGGCCGGCTATCGTAATTCTTCCTCTCTAGGGCTAAACTTCGGCATAGAAAACAAGCTTGTTTTAACCTGAAACACCAGAGTGAGCTTCGTGATAACGGAGTGAGAACTTCAATATGCAATGCCGACCCTCCTGATTTCTCAATCTCCTTTTCCACATGCCATCTCTTCATACGTTCAAGACGCTCTCCCTTCCCTCCAGATATATGCCGACTGGGTCAGCCATAGTTATGGCACTTTTTGTGTAAAGTCTCTGATTTGACGGAATGTTAGGGACCTGTGCACATGTTAGCTGACTTGAACATATCCATGCTAGTGACTTGTAGCTTCCACTGTTCCCACCGGATCAGCTTTCACTCATAGAGCCGCAAATAATTTATGAATGATGCTTCAGAATATACCGAAGAGGGGTTTAAATTCTGCATACAGAGCTTGTATTATATCTTTGTAGCTTCCATATAGGCTCGCTTCACATAGCATGTATAGAATAGCATAAATATAGAAGGAACATTCAGAGTATCGCTGTTTCCCTCGTCAATCGGTGGCAGGTGCAGCACCTGTTGCGCCTAACGCCAGTACCAGGACAAACAAGATGAGTTTGGTCGTTGACGGATTCGGCAGAGGTCTGAACCTGACTTGCACCAGGCAAGTATGTAAGAATGGGGCATATGAAGCAGATAATCTGTCTGATACATCGGCAAGTAAGTCCTTTATAGTTCAGCTGAGATGCGAAGTCTCGGATGAGTCTTGCAAATGGTATAGGCCAGAGTGATGCATATGAGCGGTCATACATCTCCCTTGTCAACATCGAATGCGAAGTCAAACACGTATTCCACAGCACGAATCGTAGGATCGGAAGGATACCAAAGCTGCAGCAAAAATGTATCCACGAGTGTTGTTCATGAAATCTTTTGAACATCTGTGCCCGAGACAGATTACGTACTCTCTATAGGTCGCAAAGTTCTTCCCTTGATCTATCACTATTCTTGAAAGATCGTTACGAAACAGCTAGTACTACCGTGAGCTTTACTCACATATTTGATTGCGCGGATATGCTATATGAGAGTCAATGGGACGGCCTATTATGATAATGATTTGGAAGAGCTGTAAGCGCCCATGCTAAGCTCAGACCCGAGAATTAAATACTGGGAGAACAAGAAAAGAAGAAGAAAAATGAAAATGAATGACGAAAAGCGAGAAAGATCCCTGTTGTTCTTGATCAATCCTTTTCCTTCATCGCCAGCTCTCGGTGCCTTAGTTCTCTTGGAAGTGTAACCAGGGCGGCTATAGAAAGGTTATATTTAATAAACTTTGGAACTATATGGACCTACCACGTGGGCCAATCCTAGATGGTGAGGTATTTGCCCGTTAAAGACCGCTATGGCCCCTAGAGTATATCCGTGGCGCTTAGCAATCAACGTGATTAGGTCTACTGAATTTATCTCTATCCTGCTGTTACCTACAGCCTTCCATGATTCTGCTTTAGTCTCAAAGCGTGAATTAATGCACGGAGAGATTGCCCAATGATATGAACCTGTGCATGTATGATAGTCAGACTACTCACTATCCATCGAGTAATAAGGCAGATTGATGTTTACACGGGTCAAAAAGAAAAACATGGGCTTGAAAGGGTGTTAGAGCAATGCATCACAGCTGCCTGTGAGGGCATGATTCTCTATGCTATGCGAGTATTTTATATAACAATTTGATGTACGTGTCCAAAGCCATATGATGTAGTTGAGCAAGAATTCCTCTCATAATCAGCATTGGTTACTTGGTAGGTGAGCGATCCTAGGAGGACTGAATCGTGTAGAAGAAGCTGGCGATAACAGCTTCTCTTGGGGAACGGATCAGCTAAAGGGAGTGCGTTGTGGCTATGTTATCCTGGTTAAGAAAGCCCCCAAAATATGCGGGTCAGATGAGTCCCAACCACACATATGTTCTAGACATAATGTATTTGTCAGTGATTCGAAGTAGGTTGAGATATTTAAGGCTCATGTCCTTTCGGTTTCGTTTGATACGGGGTATAGCATAGCATCAAGATGTTTAGCAAGACCAATCGATCGTTCCATGATGTTGAGCTCATATTGAGTCAAATTCCTCGCTTCACCTCCCTTCATACAACTCATATCCTCCTTGCGATCGCCCTTTTGCCATTTGCCATCAATCATCCAGTGGGTGGGAACTTCATATTCATTGGTCATACCGCTCTTACCCTTGTTCTTGAGAAGGCTCCCATTATACCACAAGAGTCTATCCTTTGCATCAACATGAGCGATGACAAAGCTGCACACCTTGTTCTGGCCCCTACTATCCACCTCGCCCCAGCCAACAATCCCACCATAGTGCCCCGAGAACTCGTAAGTCGCACCCGTGAGCTCAAGACCAAGCCACCACGTCTCCTTGTCTCCGTATGTGATCTTATACGTGACTTCCTCGCGCACATCATACGAATTCTGCCAGCATATGTGGAACAGGGCAATGAGTGTGTCCGTTCGGCTCTTATCAAGGATAACTAGACCAGAGTCGCCTTCTTCGGCATAATTCTCCGTCCATACAAGTGACTTTTCCAACGTCGCACTTGGCTGGCGAATCTGACTCCTGTACCATTCGTTGCGCTCTGGAAACACATTTTTCCAGAGGAGTCGGTCATGGAACAGTAAAGCCCCACTTCGAACAAATGCTTCATGGTCGAGCAGGACCTCGGGAGGTTGAAAGAAAACAGCATCACCGTCGGCTAGGATTACTCGTTCGAAATGTGAGCCCAAGGCTGCAAAGGCCTTGATGGCCCAACCACCCGTCTGCAACTGGAGTGTTGAGTCATCAAAAACGGTGAGGATGTCAAGAAACTCAAGGGGAGGGCCAGATTCCACAATGTTTGATAAACGGGCCCTGTCATCCTGATTGAGATCATCATCACCCGCATAGACGATTTGAATCGGTAAGGTTGAATTTAGAACCGAGCGCAGAGTGCCAATGAGGTGGGCCGCGAAGCGGAGAGTGTTATTGCTGGTTGGGATGACCACACCGGCTGAGCCTGGCTCAAAGGATGCCCGGAGATCCGCTACGGGTTCATGGGTGGCATTTTGTCCCTTGGGCTTGTCGAGAAAGGGGTATAAAGACACAGCTACCCTCTCCGTAGCATTTAACAACAAATTCCTGCTCGTGGACTCTGGTAACTGATCAGCTAGTGTCATCCAGTCGCGCAAGACTCGACTTCGCTGGCCTAACTCCCCGAAATGCTCTTTATATGGTGGTTGGAGTGGATAGTCAATAAAGTATTGCGCAAGATGGTCAATCAAGCTGATATCAGCAATGACAGGGGGGTATTTTTCGTGGTGGTATTATCCACATAGCTTGAGTCAGTCACAATATGGTTAACAGGATCAGGCACTACTACTTTCGACGTAGTGGTCTGTAGTCGGGGTGAGTATAAGAGGAATAAAGAGAGTACTGCTGCCGCTGCAATCGTAGTGATACCAATCCAGGCCGGTCGAAGACCTCGCGGGGCCAGAAACGAGATCATATTCCGTGGGAACCGACGTGTGGGGTCCAAAGGAACTTAAATTAGAAACCTGTTGGCTGAAAACATTGACTGTGAAATGTAAGGATACAGGGTATTTACGCAGAAAGCTTTCCATCAGCTTGTAGCAGTGAGAAACGAAGATGTGGCCATTTTTGTCTTGATGGGAAGTGACATGTCTTAACTGAGCGATTCTCGGCATGGTCAGGGGGGGAGCCCCAAGTTCACTAAAATTAAACCAGAGGCTGACAACAAGCCTGATGGTACGCAATGTTACCATATCGGTAGTGGATTCCAGCCCTATATCATTGGTGCAGGCTGTGGGGAGCGGCCATTAGCTTTTAAGATAGTGGCAACTAGAATCCACCGTTCTTGTAAGATGCCGATCCTGGCCTACACAGTGTATTCACAGAGTACGGAAATACATCGAATTTTCATTGACAGGGGCTCAGCCCCGTCCATGTCACTATCACTGTCCACTTGGTGTGTAGTGCTTTTCTGCGGCTATTTTGTAGCGCATTCTGTTTTTCTTGATGTATCGAAGCTTTCCGGCAGACGGGATGCAAATTTTGTCATGACTGATCCATTCGGTGTTTAATTCGTTTAACCCATCCCGCTATGCCTGATTCAGCATTTGGATCAGGCGGGCTGGAATTACGTTGTCAATCATGAGATAATTGTCGATAATAAGACAGCTGCTGCGACTCGAACTTCCGGCACATGGGGGCCAGAGGGCGGTTCTTATTTCAGTTAAGGTGATTACTAATTCCATATTCATAGGTATGCAACTTCATTCGGTCAGCTCCCAATGCTGGGGAGGATTTTTTATGAAGCTGGACAGTTGATCTGCTCGGAAGTGATACCCGGATGCCAAGAGAGATGTAGGGCTGGCGGCAGCATTTAGTTTGAACATTCAGCAGGTCACGTGGTCTTTCAAGGTTGTATATTAGAGCAGCTGGTTGTAGAGACATATAGTTAAAAGGAAACATTTTTACAGGTATATTTACTTCTATATTTTGCCTTGCATATGGAGAAGAGCATATATACAGTCGACGTCATCCTGACCATGCTTGGGGTTAATGGGCGCTAGTAGTCACCCTCGGTCGTCAGACAGCTGCCCATATCGTGCTCCAATCACGAGGGGCACAACTTCATCTTTGGGTCCAAATCCAGCCAACCTGACATCTGTTGTGTGGTACCCGGGGTCGTTTAGCTCCGTGTCCAACCTGGATCTATCCTGTTGAACCAGCTCTCCAAACTGAACCTCGAGGTTTTTGAGTTCAGTGGACTCGTTATGGTTTCCTCCCAAGCAACCTCCCATTGCTAGCTGATCAAATCTGTAGTTTCCCCGTGTGGTCATTGCAACTTGTAAGAATCCATTATCTGTGGCTGCAACACCGTTCTGACGCAACGACCAGTAGCCCAAAGCCGCCAACGGCAGAGCAACACCTAGGGAGAGGAAATATGGCAGAAGAAGGTTCAGCGGCCGAGACCACACATACTGTGTATGTAGATCTTGTCGAGTCACGTTGACCGAAGTTGGCCAGAGCTGGAAATGATTGATTGCGCTTATGGTGACGTTCGCCAGCATCGAGTTAAGGATCTCTTCATTTACAGTGAATAAACTGTACCAAGTAGTGAGAGTTCCTTCCCAAGAATCGCTGAACCCATTGAAAAGACGGGTGGATTGGACGAGAAGATTGTCTTGCATCACTGTTCATCTAGTCAGTCCACGACCAAGTACACTTTGGGGAATGTTTGCACATGCATTGCGTTGAAAACACCGCCTCCTGTGCGATCGCTTCCATTGAATCCACACCGTAGACCATTGCCCCTACATTTCCGGATATGCCTTTGGTCATTGCCATAATTAGTGCCATTATATTACGATCACGAATTGTGTCGACAACAGCTTGGGTCATGTTATTCTTGGAAAAATAGAATTTCTTGTCCATCGGCACCAAGTCATGCACATCTCCTATAGTGACGGTTGAGGACTGCTCGCCGTTGTGGAATCTCTGGATGACATGGTATTCAGCCCGACGAGGGGTACATGTCAGTACATGAGACACGTATTCAAATCGAACGGTGTCTGCGGAATCATTTCGAACCCAATTATATACCTCTGCATTCTTCATTTGAAAATTCTGTAGAGCAAGGGAGCCCGCATCCGGTGTGGTCCAGTTGCTTTCTAGCGCATAGAACCAAATGGCACTCCTGTTGAACTGCGGACTAACCTTCTCAAAATCAGTATTGTTACAGCTTAGGTACGGGCCGTCGAAAGAAATCTCATAGGAGCAATTCACCCCGCAAGGTGAGCTCATGGTATGTGGCGCGCCGTTCACGATAGTTTCTGTAGCCAGTTGGTAGATGACAGGCTTGATCTGGAACCCCATATCCGCAATGGTCAACTGTTCAGCACGGAGTACCTGAATAGTAGTCAGTAGCACTTCCGATGCCTTCGATTACTTGATGAAAGGAAGGCTTTACCTCGACAAAATCAGTGTGATTTTGGTCTCTCCAATTATTCGGCACAAACAAAGCCAATTCTTTATCCTTCAAAATTGTTGCGTTACCTCCCCAAGTCTAAATAGCGTACAGATTCACGATCAGATGACTGGTTTCAATATTCAAGTTGGTAGTACTGACCTCTGAGAGATTCATACCTGGCATTTCAGTCTGGAATGCCTCGTGTGTCCTTATCGCACTCCTGACGGTCATTGAGCTCGATGGGAAACTCATAGCGACAGGAACAGCCCAGAGGACCATTGTAATAATAGCTAATAACCATCCTTTTTGAAGTACAGTTAGGGAGAAGAACGACGTTGGGCTTCCTCTCATAGTATAGAGAAACTCCAGAGTTTCAAGCCGCATGGGAGAAATCCGGACAATATGCCAGAAATATTGCGTAAACGCCGCTGCCAAACAGATGCGAATACAGAAGCTGATCACGTTGGCCACAATAGTTGATGCCGCCGTGACATAGGTTTGTGACGGGATATTTCGATCATTTTCAAGCTTTCCGTCGAGATAGTTGAATACTAAAGCATGAGTAATGGCTAGTGCGAGGGCTGCGCATAAGTGTCAGTATCTTCCATGAATTCCATCCTCCAATACTTCCGCACCTAAGGAAAAACTGCCGCAGAGGATGAGCGTGGTTTTCCAGCCGATACCCCATTGACAGACTTGCCCTTGATTCCGTGTGGGATCATCCAAGTCGTGTGTTACGATCGGTGTCTCCGATTGAGATGGGTATTTCCCCAGGGGAAATCGATCCGCTGCATTGGTAGGCTTAAAACGAAACCACATACCCGATGAAAGAGGTTAGGTTCCTAAGGGTATCGCGAGTGCAAACCTTTGTTCAAACGCGACAGACATGAGAGTAATCTTCAACCCTTTTTCAACCATGATCTTGAGATTTACCCGCCAGGATCTTTGACGTCCGCCGATCAACCTGTCACCTCCGTCGCTTCCTAGACTGCCAACAGACATGGTGGAGTGGGCTGAGACCCTGGGCTTGGGGGCCATTTGCTGATCTTTTTCCTCATTAGTTTTCAGAGCCTATGCCCGCCTTCCTTGACAAAGATACAATGGCGTTGTCAAGGTATGAGCATATTCTACTGGATGTATTAGCCGCTCAACTCTATATATGCATTTGTCGTTCTATCTTATTGGCCAGAAAACTGCTGTGCATCGAGCGATACCACAGTTATATAAGAGGCCCGACCTCAAAAACACTTATCTGCTTGGCAGTGCTTACCCACTGGATCATGATGCTGATCGGAGCGTTGGGCTCAGCGCTTAACATCCTGATCGATGTGGTCGCCCCAATCCCCGGTCTATAGTGATTGGTCCTGGGCTCCAGAAAAGTGGAGGCCTTCAAGGCCAGAAAAAGAAAAATCGCCGACTCCGCAGCGAAAGTCAGTCACGTGTAAAGCCCTTCCACAGATTATAAAATTAGAATACTATGTAGCGCATAGACTGTTGGGGCAACAGATGTACTTGGGGTTATATTGGTATAGAGTCCAGAGGTCAGCTTTGGTGAATATAGCATATTGAGTTCCGTTATGTTTACCAGGAAGGGACTCTTTTGTGTACCGCCAAGACTCGGGAGGACATTGATCTACTTGCTGCCTGAGGCAGGGACCTTCCTATTCCATCACTGCCACCCAAACAGCTTTCTATAATGGAGCATAGGCTACAGTATCAAATGTGCGGCTTGGTATTCATAAAATGTGCATCTTTGGACAGGAACTTAACGAGGGTGATTCTGTATGAAGCTTAATAATTTTGTATTTGCTATGGTAGTGCTCAAAGGAGGGCATACTCTTATACCAGTTTGAAAAATATATATACTGTACTTCATGGACATTATGCGTGAAGATCGACTCCATGTCATGATCATCCCCACAATTTATACATTTCGGTAAGCTTACATCATACAAAAGCTTGACCACCTAAGTACATTTAACTATGCTGTTAGTACCTTGGGATACATTCACTATAGTTCGGAATCTTCGGATTGTTCTGCTGAGTTCTTTGCTGGTTTGCTCGGGTATTACCCGGAGCTTGGCCTTCAATCTTAATTTCCGGACCGAGTCTTTTTTTCATCGGTTGACCTATTGCCGCCGAACATCAACGGGAGATGTACTTGGGACTGATTAACCATAAATTATTCTGACTGGGGTTAAATCGATCGGCTACCGTTTCAATGAATCGTTGTAATCTCTGTAGTTTAGTTTTAGCTCTGCCCTTGGTTTCATTTCCGAAAATTAGCCATGAATCTAAATAGGCCCACTCTCTGTTTCAGGCGGTTTCAAGTATACAATTGTGTTTATATCTCAAGGCGCATATTCATAGCCATATGATCCTGACTGTCGAGCTACCTCAAATTCTGCTCATACTCATAACACTCGTTTATTTGTCGTTCCCAATTTAGCCGTGTTGCTTTTTAACTTATACATTCTTTTCTATCAACATGGTTCACCTCTACCGTGCCCTGGCGGCCCTCTCGTTTTCTGCGTCTGCGCTTGCCCTTCCTACTCTCTCCTCTCGGGCCCAGGCGGCGAGTGAGCACTGTGGAGACTACGACTACGTGATTCTGCAAGACACACCATGGATCGTCTACAACATGCTCTACAATGCGAACCAGATCGTCGGCACGCAATGCACCAACTATAACCAAGTGATCACGTCTGACAGCGGAACTAAGGAAGTCGTATGGAGCAGTGTGACCGACATTGAATATGTCGAGAGCACGTAGGAGTCCCTCTTGGTAATTGTGGTCTAGAGTTTTGAATTAACGTGGGCCCATAGGAACAACGTGCCAAAAGGCTACTCTTTCGTGGGTCTCACCCAGAACCTTGAAACAAAGTTGTCGGCCATCGACTCGATTCCGAGCACTTACAGCTGGACTCGTACCAACACAACTGCTTACAAGGGTATGCTCATGTCTTCCCAAGCCTTTCGATAATATAACTTATGGACAATACAACAGGAAATGTCTGCTTCGATTTCATGACAAACGACGTCAAGGGCGATTCCACCTCTTCTTCCTCTCGGGAGCTGATGCTCTGGCTGCAGTATGAAGGCGGGCAGCTTCCCATCGGCTGGACCAACGGCGCTGTTGCTACTATTGACGATCTCTTCGGCACCTCTTGGAAATTGTATGAAGACGTCAACGAGGATACCGGTATCACCGTCAGCACCCTGATGCCCGAGACGCAATTCGAGGGAACCTTCACCGGTGATTTGAAGGATTGGCTTCTTGCTTTGTCCAAGCTGGGACGCTTTACTGAGTCGACCTATGTGAACGTCGGTAATGCTGGGTATGTTTTTGCTCTCGTACCTCGCCTCAATTATCTCTAACAGCTTGTACAGAACCGAGTTCTTTTATGGAGACTCTGTCATGAACGCTACCCTTGGATTGCAGATTAATCTTGCATAAAGTATCGACATACGATCGGGTTCTTTACCGTCGATGAACTAGGTTTTGTCCGCATAGCCTGATATTCATTCATTGGCATATCTTGGTTTTATGATGTGCTTTCGGAGCTCCTAGTATATTTACACAGAATTGGCACCAGGGTAGTAACATGTAAAAATATCGAGTAATAATATTTGCGGTACAGAGCGACAGCATTGACCATTACCTATGTCCACAAGGCACCGCATTTCCTGCATCTATTGAGTTCTCCATTCCATAGAAAGTCAGGGTTTTGAAGGCACCGGGTCTAAAAAGGAAAATAAAAGTTATCAGGCGAGAGTGCCAGAAAAGGAGCCAGGTTCCACCCTAGATCTGAGCCATCTCACACTGGTTTTGGTATTCTAGGTTTTGAATGGATATCCACATATTATCTCAATATCATGATGTGATATAAGTGGTGTTGTGGTAGATTACCCCTGAATTAAGTCTATGAACTTGTTATCTATAGCAAAATAAGGGATATACCCTTGCTAAAGATCCAGAATCACACTTTTAAATACACCCTGGTCAAAGTTCGCACCGCACAAGACAATAACACTGGTTTGGTTGGTGAGCTGTTGTGCGACCTTATTAAAGCCGGCCAAAACCAGAGCTGCAGAGCCTTCGACATTCATATTTTCCTCGAACGCCATAATCTTCAAGGCAGCTTTAATCTCATCCTCGTCACATTCAAGCACATGATCCACCACAGACATTGCCAGCGGAAGTGTGATCGTATCCGTATCGATGCCTCCAGCAACGGCATCAGCCAGAGTATCCCTATGCTCCGTTTCAACTACATGGCCCGCAGCCATAGACTCGGCGAGAGCTTTGGAATTAATCGCAGAAACACCATAGATCTTCGTACGTGGACTGAACGCCTTCATCACCGCCCCAATACCGCTAATCAATCCACCGCCACCCATGGAGACGAAAACATTATCCACTTGATCACACTGCTCGAGAATCTCCAATCCAATAGTCCCTTGCCCGGCAATAATATCAGGATCATTGTACGGCGAAATATAAGTATACTTTTCCTCAACAGCAAGCCGTTGGGCATGTTGTTCAGCAAGACCAGTTTCAGCTCCATGCAGAATAACATTCACCCCGTAGGACTTAATTTTCTCCAGTTTCGCAGGCACCACCGTTTCCGGGAGGACAACAGTGAGATCTTTGGACAATGCCTGCGCTCCACATGCGGCGCCTATCCCATGGTTACCGGACGAGGCTGTTATTAATCGCCCGTTCGCTGGGTGACCTGACATCTTGGACATTGCGCCTCGGATCTTGAACGATCCTGTTAATTGGAAGTTCTCTGCTTTGAATAGCACCTTTGCGCCATTGGATTTGCCTTGTGCTCGGGCTGGAATGAGGGGTGTTTGGTAGATGTGGCTGCGGATGCGATTCCGGGCTTGGACTGCGCTGGCGGCAGTTTCGTAGACTGAGTTTTGCATTTTTCTATTCTTTAATGGATATTGTTTGGTAGGTAGTGAAGAGTGAAACGTCTGCGATGGCTGAAATTGGAATGTTGGGATTTGTTGTCCTCTTTAACCTGCAAGATCCTCTCGATCTTGTTGTGATATCGGCCCACCATATAGGAAGATATGATTGGTTTCAACGGCTAAATTGCCTGAATCGGCTTAGCTCTCCCGACAATGAACGCATGTATGAGAAGAAATAGCAGCATTTATGGGCGCCAAGATCTCCGCCAAAGAATGGACAGCTGAGCTCTAATATCCAATGCGTGTATGGAAGCACGTATCTACGGGGAAGAGAAGCCAAATAGTTGTGGGCCCCTTCATGGACGGACTTTTTTGGTACTAGATGGGCTAAATTATATCGTGTATCCAATAGATGTTTCCTAAATGAGCGTGAATTGGATGTCATGTCAAGATAACCCAGGCTTTAGCTTTAGGAGTGGGTAGAAATACCAGTCTTAAAACAGATATCAGAACTTATTATCTGCTTTGTTCTTGTACCCATTTTGATAGTACTACTTGGTTCCCGGTATTAAGGTACGGTCCGTGTGGGGAACTGAATATGGGTTGACTCTTTGGATCAGTGAGCCTTTGACTTTGAGTCTAGACGATATTTAAACGCACCAAGTAGACGATATTTATAGTGTTAAGACAACTGTCAGTTATGATATGACGTCATACATATCAGGCCCGGAAGCATACGCATTCAGCGGTATTGTGTGATGCACAAATAAGAGTAGGAAGGAAAATGTACGTTATTAGAATTATAAGTTCTATTGACAATATGCGTAACCGATGGCCATCAGATAATTCATTAGTTGAACATTTTTGAATAGTAAAGCCGCAATCTACATCGCGCCTAACCTAAATCTTAGACCTTCCGTCAGGACCCAGCCGCTCGAGCACCTGCTCTCGGACATCATGCACGATAGTCGCAGCATCCTTGACATTATGAATCAGCCCAATGGACGCACCAGCATACGTAGCTAGTCTTCCCTCCGGACCCCAGCCAGCATCACCAGCCTTCAGAGCTAGATCATGATCCACCTTTAGCTCATCAAACGACCGGCCAGCCTGGTGCTCAATGAAACTCTTGTTGATGATAGTACGCGGCATATACGGCTCCGGCCAGCCCATGGTGCCACGAAGATGATTGTAAAGCAATGTCCGCGTGGTGGAAGCTGCACCATCGGTAGCTCGTACAATTTCACCCTGATACCCCTTGCTAATGCGCGCCTCCTCGGAGGCCAAAAACCGTGTGCCCATGACAACACCATCAGCACCTAGACAAAGTGCTGCCGCGGCTCCTCGTCCGTCGGCAATACCCCCAGCCGCAAGGATCGGAATCTGACTACCAGCCAAGGCGTCGGCGACTTCCGGGAGTAGCGTCATCAGTCCGAGTCCATCCTTATGTCGGCCATGGCCGCCGGCTTCTGATCCCTGAACAACAATTACATCGGGCCGCTCGGATCCCTTCAAGAGTCCCTTTGCCTCTGCCAGCGTACCGATCTGTATCCAGATCTGGGTCTGCGATGATGCGTCGCGGATGCTGCGCGACCACCGGTCGTAGTCTTCTTGACCACCCTTCGGGGCAAAGAGCCACGCAGCGCAGGGTTTGAACTTCTGGATACCGGAGACGGCAGTGGCGAGGTCATCGCTCCAGAGCTGGAAGCCGACGCCAATAGGCAGAACGTTGGTAGACGATGAGAAGGTGGACGAGGACTTACGGGCATCCTCTACGAGTGTTGACACCTTCTCAAGGTCGACGAGCATATCTTGTGTTTTAACAGCCGGTCCGAGGAAGCCTAGGCCGCCAGCGCGCGATACGGCGACAGCAGGGCAGGACCTGACATCACGCGCATTGGCGCGCTGACAATGAAGGGGTTGGCTACCCATGGATATGAACGTGATAAACTCATGGCGAGACGTAGGGATTTTGGCATATTTACTAGGATATCGTGACGGTGGGCAGGGGGGAATGTTGGATTATATAGAGTGTTTGGAGGATGATCTTCAGGACCCTTCGGCAGCGACAATTAAGTTGGCTAAGAGGCGGGGCTGGAGCTAAGCTCCGCGGGGTGCGGATATTGCGGAGTTATGTCACATGTCGCCTGTCACATGCTGGCTGGAGCCTCATTCGTTCCCAATTGTAGTCTATCTCCGGGCTGGTATGTTTATGAAAGGATAATGTGAGGTTAAATGGTGAAGATAGGTAGGGTTGGAAAAGCCAGAGGTCAAAATGGCTGCTGTGGCTAATCCATCGATGAGATCATGAGTACTCCATATATGATTCGGTGACGAAGGATAACTTTGGAAGTTCGATTAGCAATCAACGGCTGGCAAAAGTGGACGAAGGCTAGAACGGGGGTCACGAAGTAAAAGTAGGAGAAAGGAACGACAGTGGATAATGTGCAACCTCCGTCCGTCCGCATTGCGGGCCGCGCCCCCACAAAGACCGTTCATGATCCCGATCATATTCGTCATGCATGTGAAGATACAGATTTCTATATGGTATTTGTTTGCACTGACGCATAGAAAGACGTGTGTTCGGTATATCTATACAACTGTGGGATGTCATTGAATAGAAACTGTAGGGTCTGAAGAATGATATTCCTGTGTATGTGACGTCACGCAGCAAGATGTTAGATACGGGCTGTACATAGGATTCCTGAATATTATCGGAATACGAGGAGTGGAGCTTCTCTGCTTATCGCGAAGATCAGAACAACAATAAGTACGTATATGCTGATTTTCAGTGGCGATATACTGGGCATGGCCTCGTAAAGCATTTGAAAATGATTAGTATCACTTGACAGACTGTTTAAGTAGTGTGTAAAACAAAGCTTCCAACCTAGTGACCTAACAACTTCCCAATATACTCCGCAATAGCTAGGGTCCGTTCCTCGCTAAGGCGCCTGCCGATAATCTGCACGGCAACGGGAGCGCCATGATAAACCTCCGGATCATACTCGGCATAAACCGCCTTATCCATGTCACTAACCGGCTGATAATCCGCCAATTTGCCATCCACCGCCTTGTCCGCATACGTGACCGGTACAACAACGCTGGTGAAATCTAGCACGTTGAAAACAGTAGCATATCCATAGTACCGAAATTGGTTGTGGCGGACTGCAGCTGTGGCCGCCACCGGGGCGATAATAGCATCGAGCTCCTTGCCGGTTCGCTCCTCCCATTCGCGCCATTTGTCTAGGTACTCGCACTGATAACGCCACTTCTGCAGCTGCACGTCCCATGCCTCGTTCAGATCTGCTTTGGGAAGGTTGGGGTTCATGAGGTCCTTGATATTCGGAATAGCGGGTTCTCCTGAGGCGTTGATGTGCTTGTAAACATCCTTCATCGTGTTAGCACGTATGATAATTTACATGGGATGTTACTCACCGTGCTTCCATCTGCAGCGTAGATTTTGTTGGCTAGGTCAACGGCAAACCCGTGTTTGTAGGGTGTCCAGGCCGCCACGCTATGTCCGTTCTTCTCGAGCGCAGTGCGGACAATCTCAATACCGCGAGTAATCGGAGGGTGTGGACGTACCTTGTCCGCCGTTAATCAATGTAATAATGAATGAGCTGGCAGTTAGAAGTACTCACAACACCATCGAAATCGTAAAAGGCAAAGTTTAGTCCCTTCTCGGCAATTTTAGCTTGGGTGGCCTTCTCTTCGGCCTCCCTCCATGGAAGTGGTATGACCTTCGAATCGTACTTCCAAGGCTCCTCTTTGAGGACAGATTGGAGGAAGAGTCTGACATCTAACGGGCATTAGTATTTTTCCAGCGACGATCTACATTAGAAATATACCTTCAGCAGAGTGCGCCATTGGTCCAACAACGCTATGTATCGTCTCTTGGCCTTCCATGCTGTTCGTCATACCGCCGTAAGGCAGACGACCATGGCTTGGACGAATACCGTATAAGGAATTGAACGCAGCTGGAACACGAATAGATCCACCTGAGCGACATTAGTGTCTATTAACTTCAATGGTTAAATGTGGAAACCTACCGATATCAGTTCCTATACCGATGGCTCCTCCACGCATTGCAATCATGGCACCTTCGCCTCCGGAGCTTCCGCCGCAGGAGAGGTCGAGATTTCTAGGGTTTGATGTGCGACCGATGATATTATTGACGGTCTCGCATACCATCAATGTTTGCGGAACACTTGTCTTGACGAGGAATACGGCGCCTGCTTTCCTCAACAGGGCAGTTAATATCGAATCGCTGGTGTCGGGCTTACCCAACCAAGAGATATAGGCCATGCATGTTTCAGTTCCCTAGTTCTATGTTAGAAGAGATGCACGCCAGCGTGGGAAGTTCATTTCACCTTGACTCGTAATTGATCTTTCAAAGAGATCGGTAATCCATGCAATGGTCCCACGGGTTTCTTGTGTGTTTCAAAATATCTATCAAGCTCCTTGGCTTGGGCTAATGCCAACTCAGGAAAGAAATCATGTGCACAATTGACCTACACGCATTGGTATCACGTATCTCCGACCGAAACGAAGGTCGTACTTACAAGTTGATGAGCCAGTGCAGCTCTTTTACAGAAGGCCAGTGTCACGTCCACGGACTTCAACGTGCCATCGGCTAATTGAGAAACGAGGTCTGTCGCTGACGAGTTTGTGATCTTTATTTCAGAAGGCGACAGAATCCCAGACTTCTCAGGTAGATCAATGACCGAGCCTTCTGTTGGGACTGTCTTGATTCTCCATTCGTCTGGGATGGACTTCTCCAGACGTGCCCTCTTATCAGCGGCAAGATCTTCCCAGCTGGCAGACGACATAGTGACAAAGTGATAGCTTAGACTATAGACGGTGGTGGAATTATCAACCCGGTGTCTAACGTGGAAACATTATCCGTGGACTACGTTGCTTTATATCTCCAATATCTCCAAGTCTCAAATTTGGGGTTACCCCGCAACCTCAACGTCGTATCGCGGCCATACGGACCATGCAAGGAGAAAAGG